TTGCCTTCCAATGGTGCAAATTGTAAAAGGCACTCTCCTGCCACCCTTCCCCTGCCTTCAGCCACTCCAGCGGCGGCCCCTCCCAGGTTTGCCAGGGAATCTCTGTAATTGTGTGTGACTGTATACACATTTGCACACATACACAAAGACACATCTGCTACTTTTCACAAGGCTCAGCAAACTCTTACCTTTTTGCCTTATTTGTTCAATTGTCTGTATATTAGGAGATTCTACAAGAGAGTACGCATAGAGCCCCTTAATCGTTTTTAACAGCTACATGGTATTCCACTATACCATAGTATCAGCTCATTTGTGGATTGCTTTTTATTGTGTATTCAAATAGTTAAAACTTTAACACTTAAAAATGCTGCAGCAAATATTCTAAGAACAGCTTCTTAGAAATGTGATTCCTTGGGGGAGACATTTGCCTCCTTAATTGGAGAAGATTCTGAATTCCTTTCCATAGAAACCACATTACATTATCCCTCCATGAGTAAAACATAAATTGCCTTAATAGATTTTTTAATTCACAGTTTTATTTCCTTTAAACAACTATTAAATTACTGTATGAGTTTTTATTAACTTATATTAATAATAATTTTAAATTATGCCAGAAATTATCTATTTACTTGGTGCCAGGCACTCAGGTAGATACTGGAAATCCTCCTGATTCCCTTGATAACCAAACACACAGGATGCCTTCCCCTGGCCCAGTCCCTGCCATCGCCAGCCTGACCCCACCCTGGAGTCATGCAGATGCAGTGGGTGGAGAGGAGGGTCTGAGAACAAACGCTTCCTAAGGTAAGTGCTTGTTTTCAGGAGTGCAATGGATGCAGCTCAAATTCCCCTTATTAATTTTCCTCCCTTCCAGCAAGAACAGAAGGGCCAGGGTTTGTGTTCCCCATTCTTCCGTGACCCCTGAAGAGATCTCTTGGGAAATCATACAGAGCTTTCTGAGAAGTCTGAAATGAATCTCTGTCACTACCAAGCAATTTTCTTGTACAAACAAAAACTCTTTGCTCCCCGAGGCTTGCCCTGCC